CAGCGCTCTTATCATGATATATGGCTATTATTATTGTGGGGATCCTCCGGGGGGCAGACTGAGATTCATAACCAGCTTTTTATGGTCATCCTACAAGGCGGTGGGGTGTGTGCCCCCAAAGCAAGGCCAACTCCCAGCTGGTGGTCGTGCTGCGAGTCATCCTGCAGCGTTGGCTGCAATTAATTTCTAGGGCTTTGTGCGGGGACTTAAGGTCTGGCCACTAAGCCACCAGGCAAATGGGAACAGTAGCTAGCTACCCGGGAATCAATTGGAAAACTTAACGTTGCGGATGATTACCAGGGAGCAGGGTGGAGCTGCCGCAGTCGTTGCACGACAAATTGTAGCAATTTTGAACATTCCTTGAGTTTACGGCAAAAAGTTAAATAAAATTTAATGTGCCTGACTGCCTGCCTGCCTGTCAAAGGCAGCCGCCCAGCCACCCTTCATACTATCCATCTCCGTCCCTCTCTCTCTCCCTGCCTGATCCTGCAGAAGGAGCAAGCATTAAGCACAGACGCTTCACACACGACCACGGATTTCAGTGTGTCCTTCTCAGGCGTGCGCAATATCCTGTGACTAAACGGTTTATGTTTGTTGGGCTTTCAATTTGATGCACGCGTCTGGCCAGGGCCTCTGACTGGGCATGGGTGGTGGCTTCTCCTTTGACTTCTGCCGCGCGCCTGTCTGTCTGTCTGTCTGTCTGTGTGTCTCTCTGTTTGTCGGTCGAAAATCTGTTACAAGGCAACAGTCGCACCGCTTTCACGCTCCACCAAAGCCAAAGGCACACAACACATGAAAACAGGAGCAAAAGCAGAAGCCAACAAAAACAGGAGCAACAAACAGCTAGAGTGTAGGACAGTGTGTGCAAGAGGCCATTTATCAAGGAGACGTGTGTTCAGGACAGCCAGCTCCTTGTTCATGTCCTTGGCAGACCTCCTGTTTTGTTTGCCAGTCGTAGTGTCGGTTTAACACTCATTTATTATTTGCTCAACCCAAAAGCGATTTGTGTGCAGCTATGCCTGGGCAGAGGAGGAGTAAGGGGAAGGCCCAATGTTTGCCAGAATTATTACTAGTAAATGTTTCAGACAGACAGAAAGGCAGATAGTCCGGTTCATGGGCATAAGTTGTAGAGAAATGTTGTGGAACGAGTGCTAGCCATTTGTCAACTATTTAGAGGTATCGACCTCCTTGGTTACCCAAAGAAGATGCCAAAGAGTAGAAAGGTCTGAAATAAAGTTTCTTTTTGGTTTCTACTTAGGACACTACTTAAGATAGATGCTATTCCATGAACAACTTGCAAGTGTCTCTTAACTGTTCAGAACATGGAAAAATAAATCTCAGAAAATATAAATTTAATTATTTTCATGATGAAATGATATCTTTTTTGGCCCAAACGTTTTTACTAATAGTTTATTATATTTAGATCCAACTATATAGCACGCTGCATCAAGAATATCTCTTGGAAATACTTTTCAGAGTTAATAAATAAAGGGAAAAGTGAGGGATGGGTATGCATTAATGGGAGAGGTCTCTGTCCATGTCAGATATTTGTAAGAATACTAAGAATATGATAGTGATTTTTCCTATATTTATCTTATTTGTGTTAGCTTCTTGAATGACTGTCTGTTACTCACCATAAGCCGTCAGTTTGCCCGTCCTTTCGGACAGTTTATACCCGTTCGGATTAAGCGACATTTTCTCCTCTGCAATGGTATAAAGAAGTAGAAAAAGATTCATTAATAAGGAGAGATGTGAGCACCAGCTGTCCCAAATGAAAGACCTTCCCTGTGTAGGCGACAAGTAATGTTCTGCCAAATGAAGTGTATGGTAAAATGTTATGCCATCAGAGACCCTAAAGGGCAGACCCTGCGTCTGTTACATAAGTCTGCCTCCCACCATCGCACTCTCCTTTTCGCACTGCTGACTAGAAATTGCATAATCGAAGAGAAACAAACAAACAAGCCACCTCCGAAAATTTGTTAGAGTGTGAAAATGCAATGAACGAGTAAATAAATAGAAATGTTTGGTAGTGTGAGGGTAGAAGCAAGGACAACTGAAGGGCAATGTTGGAGTGTGGGAGGTATACACACTGATTTCATATACCCAACACCCACACCACCTGAAGAAGAAGGGAGGTTCTCGTGTCCCCTCTTTCCATTGGAACGCCTTCTGCTGTTGCGCAGTGAGTGTTAAGCTAATTTCCTGTGTGTTTTCCAGCACGATATATATGGATATATACACATATATGTTTGTACTTGTATATGCCAAAATTTACATAGGGATACAGACAACGCGACAGCTGCACTCGATAAACCTTGACTGTGCCCGGGAGACTTATGTAACCCCAAATCAGAGACCCAAAAGAAGGCCAAATCCATGAGAAGTAATGTGGAAATGATTTCTGTGAGTATACGGGAATATATCTGAGGAATCTTACCGATTATCCTGCGGATATCGTCGATGTATTGCCTTAGATAATTCACTTTGGCTACTGTGGCAACTGTGGCCAACGATGTGAAGGACGAATAAAATGTGCGAGAAATGAGGTGGAGAAACGAGTATCTCTGGGATGGAGCTGCGAGTAATGTTTACGGTACTACGTGTTAACTAAGAAGCAAACTACACAACTTACACAAGTCCTTTCAAAACACGAGCAAATCGTTCACTTTTCAATTGAAATGAAAAACACACAAACGCGCGGGACGGAGCAAATACTCGACTAAATATGGGGGGAATATATTTATTGTATGCTTATGTGTAGAACTCTGATAAACTCGGATATATTACTGAAACAAAAGTCTGATTTTTTCTGAGGGCAGCAGCCTACACTCGCTGACGATCTGCGGAGCTATGAGCCTTACCAAGCGTCTGTGGCGCCTACGAAGCTTTTCTTTTCGCTCAACAAAATGGCTGCCCACACACACACACACACACACACACACAGAGAAACAGTTATGGAGCTTTTGCATAACCTTCACCAACAGCGAGAGCATGGAGCTCGCTCTCTCAAGGATTTCTGTGTATGGGTATGCCACGCGTGACGTCATTGATTTTTGGGGCAACCATCTTTGTTTGTCGAGCTGCTAGCGTGGGCGGAGCTACTGGCTGTGGGCGGCCAACAGATACACACACGGAAAACGGAACAGTCAAATTATGTGCGCAGGACTGTGGAGGAGGCAGCAGGCAGGACCCATCCTCAGCCTCCTCCTGCTGCTCCTCCTGTGACGTGGCAGAATGAAAAGCTAATTAACAAACTAATTTCTGCCACTGTTTCTGACATTTACAATGGCCCCACCAACGCACAACTTTTTTATGAGAGTTGTTTCCCAGCGAGCAATCAGAAGAGAAAGCAATCTAAGTCTACATAATTGCTGTTGCTGTTTTTTCGCCCCCTATATGTAACACTTCGGCAGTCCATGTACTATGTATGGCATATACATTTGCCATATAATCGTGTGAGTATATAGAACAAGTTTATATTTGGGTCAAAGCTGGGCTCTCCACCCCTTCCGCAGGAAAATATCTTTATCTAGATGGGAAATTGCATTATTTTCAGCTGAACGAATTTCATAGCATACTTTCAAGAGTCTCACACACACAACAAACACTTCTACACACGCACATGGTAGGACACTTATGTAATTGGTGGGTGGCAGAATATTCGGGTGGCAGTAGGCAATGAGGGGGGTCTAGGGAAATTTAAAATGACGTCCATCAAGCTGCCTGGTAAAGCGAAAAAACAACGAGAAATGTGAAAATGTTTGCCCTCAGAAGTGGAAGGGGCAACATCAGCATCCCTCCAGGATTGCTTGTGCCCCCTCTCTTATCTGACAGCAAGCAGCTGCTGCTGCTGTTTGCTGCTGGAAAAGGATTTTTGCCAAGTCTTCTAGAAGCAGCTCGTGCGTCATCCTCAGCAGTGCGGAGGCGGGCCATGCCACTCGATAAGTAACTTTTTAAGTAACTTTGCTTCGCATCATTTCTTTACACTCCAACCCATGCCAACAATACATACATATAAAGAGGTTTCTGTTATGCTTACGATTATGGGGGCCATAAGATGGTAAATGTTTTTGGTTAATGTTTAAAATTGAAAACCTTAAATGGAGTTTCTTTTCATTTATTATTTAAAGGCAGTTTGTGTAACGGCAATATACCAAACCAACAATATCTCTGTTTGTACAGCATTGAACACGATCGTTCATGCACGCTTTGCTGAGAGCTTTGCTCTGCGCTGTTTGCAGTTAGAAGAAGTGAAAGAGAACTGCAGCAGCAGCAGCGGACTGCACGCTCAAGCTAGAAGAGATAAGCAACAAGCTTTAGTGCAGGTCTGATCTTGCATGCGTAAGCTTCAGTAAGCTTGCGAGAGAGAGAGAGAGAGAGAGTACCATAAACAAAGCGTGTGATGGGATATAAGCTTCTGCTTGGTCTGGCTGCGGGCCAGCTTTGTTTGCGTTGAAGAAGGTTACGTTGATCATGTTGGTCTCTATCTTATATCAAACTGTATGTTTTGATAAAGCTTAGTTATCTTTTTAAACATTTCCAATGGAGGTTTATGATTTACTTTTGCTACATTTGCGTTGTTTTAACAACCATAATCTAGATTCTAGGAATGTCTTCTTAAATCACGTTAAATACCTGTGGAAGCCCAGCTGCATTATCTTTTTGACTCATGGACTGCGCAGCTTAACCATTTTGTGGTCCCATCCATCACTTGTGTCACTCAAAGATTCTCGATTGCAGAGCAAACACACAACTTCTGGCATGGGGTTATTGAAGTAAAAATCCCCCACTTCAGAGGCAAAAGCCACCAATAATAATTATCTCTTATCAGCGATCCGATGGCTAGGAACAATAGACGGGACAGGAACAATTATGGCGGGGACATATGGCATTGGAAATCTGCGATATCCGAATCAGTATTCGCACTTGACTCTATCACGGCAGCCGACAAATTCATCAAAAAAAAGGTTTATGGATGGATTATTATTAGCTTTAGCAACCATTTGCCCTGTAGGTTCAGTTGAACAACTGCTGGCAAACGGAACGGACAACGTTATTCGTATAAAATCGCTATCAAACCCTTTTTACGTATAAAAGTAAGTAGAAACCGAACCACGGAGAAGGAATATCTGCAGTTGGTTATGAAATATTTACCTGGCTGTGTTTGCACGTAGCGCAGATAGGCCCTATAACCCAGATATGCTAAAATCTTTGGAGTTTTTCTATCACCAAGGTGGGGTGCAGTGACGGGTGGCGTTTCTGGCGGCGAGACGAGTCCCAGGAAGATTGAATAGGGCCGGCCGACGCGTCCTCTTTCGCTCTCAACTCTCAACTGGCGGAAGTGCCGAAAAAAGTTTCATTTGGCAACAGCTGCCGGGGTCCCGTTTATAAAACAGGAGTTGGGGCATCCAGTTTAGACTGTCATTAAGCTGCCATTATAAAGTCGGGCCCGCAGTTTATGGCTTGGGAGCTGCTGCTTATCAGAAACAATAGATGAATCCCCATGGATGAAATCTCCCATGGAAGAGGTGCAGCTGGAGATTCCTGGAACATTGCCAATCGATGGCGCTTGCATAATCCTTTGGGCTTGGCAAATCAAGCGCATGAAATCGGAAACACAATGCACACAGGACGCAGGACGAGGCCCTGCTTTTGTTGCCTACATTCGGGGCGCGCGATAATTGCGTTTCGAGCACAATTGCTCCTATTGTACAGCGGGGCACAGCCTGGTGCTGCTCCTGATCCAGCCCACAGATGCCATTACATATGCCAGCCATGACTCTTGGCCCCCACCACTCGGAGCCCCCACTCTCACAGCTCCTCCTAACGCCTTTCAACCCCACCAATACCTAACCTTCTGTCTCTTTCTGTAGTTTATCGCTGCGCCTTCAACCATGTGGCGACAGGGAAAGCAATATGGACTTGGAGACGTCCTGCCATTGGCTATTGGACTCCTGCTCTGCTCTGCGCAGACGCAAAGCTCTGTGACGTCATTAAGAAGGACAGCAGCAGCAGCAGGGGATGCTGCTGCAGCAGCCCAAATCCTTGAAGACGCACAACCCAGCAGCGTAGTTCAGGATTGGAGTTTGGTGTGCAAAGAGCTCTGCGGGTAAGTCTCGGAAGAAACAAATCCCAAGTGTCCTTGGAGGCAAAGGATTCTGAAATGAACAAGTGCCAGAGATAAGATAAATCTCTTTTAAAAAAATGAAAAATACCGCCTTGAAGTGTTTTGTGTGGACTCATAATGATAATATAACGATTAAATATGGAAAATCCGCAATTGAATACTCGACTGTGGAAGGCGGCGGCGGCGGCACTTCGAGTGAGGGTGTTGAGGTCTCTCGAGTGTCCATCGTAATCGCGACTGTCAAGCAAACTATAATATGTTCAACACCTGAACGGGGTGTACCCATATCTGAGTCGGTGAATCAAAGAATATCTCTAGAGTGTTTGTGTTTTTTGAGTGATTAATTACGCTGCATGCCAAGTGTTATTTTCGGAGGAAATGAACGTTTGTCCTTCTGACTAAATGAAAACAAAAATTCTAAGTTTAAGCGCTATAAAAGAGCACAAATAGTTGAACATTTTACTCGGCAAATAATTTGATTCCAATAAGATAATCACACTTCACCCAGTGAAAAACAACTAAGAAAATGTACCCGTTCTCCATTACAGAGCCGGCCTGGGCGTTGCGACGCCTGGCGAGGCCCATTCTACGATCCTGAGACCGGAAATTGATGCGGCCAAGTGCGGGCAACTGTGTGGACTGCCAAGGGGTTAGTGTCCACATAGAATATATACTAACTATCCCTGCCTAGTCTGTGTTATTTCCTCAACTAACGCTCTTCCATTTCCATATTTTCCATCTAATTCTTTCAGATAATGTGGGCGATAGACTCTGTACGAGCTACTGCCAGCAAAGGCATCGCTCGCTGTCCGGCTGCAGTCCATGCCAGGTGCAGGAGGTGAAGGAGGAGGCCAGTGCTGTGCAGGGCAATGCCACACATGGTCCCAGAACCGAGGAATACCAGGAGGCAGCAGTTGTAGCTGTAGCTGTGGCAGCCGCCTCGGATGGTGAGACTACGGCGACACCCGACTGGAACGAATTGTGCAAGTCGCTCTGCAAGACTGGCGATGGCGGGTCTTTGTGCAACTGTGATCTATCGCCGTTCTTCACCTGATAACCCCAGGTGCGAAGGGAAGGTGCTGGATCACAAATAATAATTTATATATTATATAATTCGACAGTTGTATAACATTTTGTTGTTCTTCGTTTTGGATTTGAGTTAGTGCTAGTGTTGTCTTTATATATATATATATACATATATATTCTATATTCCATATCTTGTTGCGAGAGTTTAGTTGAAAATACTGTAAAGAGATACAAGAAACTATAGAAGAAAAATGGTAAATCAAAAAAATATAATCATAGACGAGGAAAACAGAGAAGAGAATCACGCGCAATTGCCGGAGGAAGAGCGAACAAATTCGAAACAAATTCCCTATGCGAATCAATTAATTTGTAATTAATTTCAATTAAAAAACGTAACTATAGAATGTAAGCGGAGGAATCCAACAGCAGTATCACACAGGGCTTCCAGTGTACCCCTCGCTGGATAGAAGGAAGGATCGAAAGATCATTCATCCCTTGGTATCCGGTGGGGGGGCACATACCCCCAAAAAGTATTAGGTGATTGGAATAGGGAGACACAACCAATTAATATCAACAAACACAACATATCGTGGTAAATCAATTACTTACACTTCAGACTTTTGATTTCTTAATGGATGGAATCAGCATATCAATTTACGAAGCAGGAGGCAGGAGGCTATCTGAAGTTGATGCGAGTATCCGAGCAGTTTTTGTTTCAGTTCAGTTTTTGCTTAACGGCATCAATTATGTGTGTCACATTAACCAAGAGTTTAGTGTTGGTTACAGATATAAATATGAATATATACGAGTAAATACGATATTGGTCTATATAATATCTATACACAAAAATGAGTTGCGATTGCAAATCACAAACTCAAAAGCGGGACAAACAAAAACCCTGAAATTCCCGCGAATACATTTACAATTATTATAGATATCATTCTATATATATATATATAACATATATATATATGCTAACATTATCTGTGTGTTTGGAAGACATTTTTTCGCATTGTATGAAATGGAAGACAATTTCAGCAAGCAACAACAACAGCAAAAAGCATTCTGGAAGACATGCGTCAATTTATGGCAGGGTGGGGAGCAAGCAACATCATGTGCCCCACCTTGCAACTAGTTTAGTAAGGCCCTACAAATAATATAAATAATGTATTTAAACTTTATTTTGATTCAAGAAAAAACCCTAGTCAATGGCTAGCACACGTTGTTGTGTCAAAAACGCGACGCTGTGACTGACAATAATTACTAGAAATAATACAAAGAAAGATGAAAGATAGTTGGAGATGGAGATTTGGGTATTCAGTGTCTAAATATCACTAATTACTTAATCGCGCACCTATACTATATATAATAGTAATATTACAATATATTGCACCGAACGATAATTACGAGTTTATTAGAAGATGGAAGATGAATATCGCCAGGACAGGAGTTTTAAGAAGCATTATTCAGAGCACATTCATTGATAACCTAATGCGGCTTCAGTATGTATATCGATGTGTAGCACGTTAATCAATCACTAATTACCAAATACAAATACTAATCGTATTCCAATGCACTTGCATTTATGTATATGTATATGTGTTAGGCGTTGCGTTTCTGCCATGAATACTGCGGCTAAGGAACCATAATATCAACAGCACACAACCCATTAAACCCCAAACCAGATTAATTAATAATAATCAAATCAATAACAACAAAATGCTATCTATAAAAAAACATCATCATCAATTGCAATTACAATTACGATTTCTGCAATTGCAATTGCAAACACGCCGAACCGAAAACCGTTTCGCAGTTTGTTTTCGTTTGTTGTGGCAAGGCAAGAGGCATCGATCGATGACTATATAGTAGATATACAGCAGATAGGAAGAAATCATAGTTGAATAGCTTGAAATGCCATTTAGTATGTATGCCGCGAGTGAAATAACCCCGAAGAAAATCATAAATTTAAAGACAATTCCACGAAAGTAACCGAAATACTGAAAAACAAACATCAGAAATATTATGTACACGCATTCAAAGTAAAGGCAAATATATCTATTATCTGTTAAATGTTGTAAAGCCCCTCTAAACACAAAAAAAAAGAAAAAACGAACAAAGCCAAAGGACTTTTACTTGGATGGGTAGGGGAAATGGGAGAACTATCTAATGAAAATTGTATCTACATAAATGTAGATCCTTAAAAGGCATTTCTTTGATAGGAAAAATTTTACATTTTTCTGATTACCGAAAAGCGGGGAGGAAAATATCGTTTGAAGCAGCCGGAAAGTACATAAATACAAGCACTGCTTATCCCAAAGTTTCTTGTTTGGCGGTATAAAATTCAAATGCACTGCTTTGAAAGCTTAAACACGACTATCGTTTAACGCTTCGGTGAACTGCTTCGTCGTCAAGCTTTCGTTTCGTAGAGTTTCCACTGCTTTAAGCTTTACATTCAAAGTTGAATCGGTCAAATAATCGGCAAATTCAAGTAAATATTCTGAAAAATATTAAACTTCTGTTACATTGCTTATTTATTGCGCATGCATGATATTATTATGATATTCAAACATAATCTGTAGACAGTAAGAGGCAAACATAAACTGGACGTGTCATTTTTCTTCACTATAACTAAATTAATTTAAAAGTCACATTAGGTTTAGTGGTCGTGGTCGGTACGTGTACAAATATTTAACAAATTCATGAGAGAGTATACAACAACACATTTCAACTAATTTATAATTAAAACGAGGAAGATGCATTGTGCTTGCGCCTTGGGCGTTAGTTAATTAGTACAATCCTCGCATTTTAAGTACAAAAAGAAGGCTAGTCAGTGGTGGTCAGTGGTTAACAAAATAAATGGGAAGGCAACGACAGGCGGAAATCATCGAAATGAAACTTGGCTTACTATTTCCCTTCTCCCTTCTCCCACGATCTGTAATCGTTTCCCCTTAGCAATATTCTTAGAAAAAATTGTTAAACCTATTATTATATCATAATTTACATTGGCAAGTATGAATCGTTAAGTATTTGTTGGGTTTGTAGCTTTAGACGTTAGTATAATAGATTTCGAGGGGCTTCTTCTGTAAGCAGCCATCCGCCGGCTCCTACTTCTGCTCCTGCCGTGTCTTTTGTGCTCCGTTCCTATTTGTTCTGGTCATTTGTATTTGTTACGCGTGCGCGTGCCAGGGTATGCGACGGGCATTAGCTAATCGACATGCGATTAGAGAGACGTCTTCATCATTCAGTCGCCAGCTCATCGATGCGACAGCGCACGGCGTGCTCGAGCACCTCCAGGCTGGCGTAGTCAAGCTCTTTGACCAGGCAGAGCGTGGCAGACAGTAGATTGGAACTCTGACGATGAAAGGGGAAATGATTCAGTTATATATATATAGACATATATCTTATCGATGTTGTGTCATGTACTCACCCGGTTAATAGGTCGTCGATGATAACCCGAGTAATGATTCGCAACGGAGGCCGACACGTTGTTGGTGGAATCGCTATAACGACCCTCGGGGCGTCTGCTGGAAGGGCATAAAATATTCAATATCCTGGTACGACTCTTCAATCCCACAGCTAACCTCGATCGCGGTCTTTCCTCTGGATCCCAATCGCCACCGTTTTCCCGCGCACTTCCATTCCGATAGCCAGTGAAACGCTCCCCGCTCTCAGGTCCAACGCTGCGACGTTGTGGATGGTTCAGCATCTGGCTGCCGTACGGATTGTGATGGACCTGCGGCACCTGATGCTGCTGATGCTCCTCCCATTCGGTGAGGTCCGTCTGGCTATGGCGATAGTGTGCCGGATATGCCGGTCGATCCGACTGATAGTATTCCTGTGCAAGGGGGAATACCAAAATGAAAAGGGGATTTGCATGCATCGAACACCGATTGAACATCCGTCGGAATATGGGGGACACCGTGTGGCAGCATGACCCTTACCTTCATGGAGTGTGCGGATATGCTGGGCGGGATGGGCGCTGGTCGCACCTCCCGATAGCCAGCATTTGGGCTGCTCTCCTGGTCAGAGCCCGGCGAGCGCTGCTCGGGCATTGGTTAGTTGTGCATTTTAGTTGTTTAGTCGGGGTCAAAGAATTGTGGTTTGTGGTTGTGGTTCGGGTCGTGGTGCATGGTAAAATAGTGAGCACATTAGAGACGTTAAAAATCGCATGGGTATGCCGCTCCCTTCACGACTATCCATTCACATGACAAAATGCTGAGCGAGTTGCACGGTTTTTTGGGGCATAATCTAATGCTGCTTCAATGGCTCATTAGCTGGGGGGGCCCTTCCTTTGTTCTACGCATACATAATGACCCATTTTCCCACTCCCGTTTATGTTTTGGCTTTTGTTCGCTTGTCGATTTGGGCTTCTTTGGCAATTATTGTTTAGTTTGTGTCTCTCTCTCTCTCTCTCTCTCTCTCTCTCTGTGTCGTTTTCGCCTCTCAAAGTCAACAGAGTGACTTAACCCACAAAAGCAAGCAGACAATGGGTCCAATGGCCAAGCGAGGGGAAAAAGCGAACCTTAACCATGTCGCAGTCGCTGTCGCAGCCGAAGCCATCGCGTGACTCTTTCAAGGGGTTACATTGCCCTCCTCCTACTTCAGCCAAGTGTGACGTGCCCTCCCCCATCCACGCCCTACCCTATTGCCCCCAAAAAAGTGGGCTCGGCTCAGCATATTGTCGTGTTGGGACGATGGCTGGTTTGGAAGTGGATCTTACATCGTATTGCTGATAGGAAGTGCGCTGCTCTTTGGTTAACGTGTTATACATGGGCGATGGCGGATGCACGGGTTCCTGGGAAAACCAAGACAGATTAGTGTTTAGCAGGGAAGCGGGGAAAGAGATCTTAAAGTTAACACTGGAACTTATCCTAAGAACTAACTCTAACTTTGATTTAGGATTCATATTTATAAGCAGACAGACGGATGGATCCACTGCCTGCTCCTGCTCCATCTCTTTGATGGGTTACCTTGGTGGGTGTTGGCGGCTTGGAGCCATGCACTGGCAGCACCTGGCTGCCACCCAGATCGCTGGCACTGGGTGTGTTGGCCCCTTCGCTGCTGTGATTACCCAGCGGGCTGGCTAACAAAAGCGGCTTGTTAATGGGAATGTAAACGGGATTAGCAGGAGTGAAGACACAAAGACGTGGCAAGAGTTGTTAAGTTAAGAGTTAACAGTTAAGATTAAAGCCCAAAGGCAAGTGTTAAATTAGGGCGTGGCGTGGGATAAGTCTCGACAATGGCAGCGATTTACCTCTCTCATAATGGGACTCGAACTCTGTCGCTGCTGCTGTGGCTGCTGTTGAGGTTGTTGCTGCGTTTGTGGATGATACTGTTGCTGCTGCTGCTGCTGCTGCTGCTGCGGTGGCGGCGAGTGTGTGGGGTAGCTATGCTGCGGCGATGTACGCTGCTGCTGTCGCGCCTCATAGGCATCTTCGTAGACCTCATCCTCGGGCACCGAACCGCCGCCACGCCGCAAGGCATCGTCCACCTCCTCCTGTGTGACTTCCACATTATCGAGTTTCTTCAGATTGGGCAGCGCGCGCAATACGATCGCTCGATAGCTGCAAAATGTGGTGTGAAAATTGTGAGATTACTCATTAAAGGCTTCCAGCCCAGACCGCAGAATTACTCACTTGGAGCCAGACTGTTCACAGCAGGGATTCTCCTCCAGCCAGAGATTCTTCAGTGCGGGCAGATTCTGCAGGTAGGCAATCTCATTGATGTCCTGAATGTGATTCTTGCGCAGATAAAGCTCCTGCAGCTTCGAGCAGTCTTCGAAGGGTGCCAAGGTGCTGATTTTATTGACGCTGCAAAGCAGAGAGAAAGGAAGAAAGATTTTCAGAAGAATTTCTCACTGTCTGTGGTTCAACAAACTTTCTCTGTTATGAAGCGACAAAGGCGCATCGGCCTCCAACTAACTGCCGTGAATCATGACAAAGATTCTTTCGGTGGCAGCTGGGTGGCGGGGTCATTAACTCTTTTCTTTTTGAAACCAAAGAAGAATGCCACAGCAGCGACCGACGTTAAAGAAGCGCCCGCTGGCAAGAGGCTTCATCATTTGTATCTTTATCTGCATCTGTAGGTCAGTTTTGTAGCGTCTTCCACGCTGGTTAGCACCTCTAGCCATCCATTGATCGATCCATTGATGCTAATTACTTTCAAATGGCCAATTGCCTGAGGCAAAGGCGCGTGCTTTGATTGTTGCTCCCCTCCGATAAGATAAGATATGGGGCCGACCGAGGAAGCGTATAAATAAGTGGCTAAACTTAGCCACGGACTCATCATTAAATGGCACACGGGTGCATTGCCTCGAGGAGAGCAGAGGCCGCCTCGAGTTGTCTCCGAGTGGCTCTGGAAGCGTTTCTCCTATTTTTAGGGCTGGGAACTAAAGCAGGCCACGCCACTCGGAACTGGGAGTGGCACCGCTAAGGGAAATAAATATGCATAATCCGAGTTCCCCCATTAACGTCAAGGTTGCCCGCAAGAGTCATGACACTCGAGAGGCCCAAGGAGCAGGAGGGAATAAACGCCAACGGCACGCAATTCAAATCAATATGAAGGAATTCCTCATAACCAAAAGGAAATGGACAAAAGACGAAAGTCGAGAATGTGGCCTACGCCAACGCGTTTCACCTGAACTGATTTATTGCGTGCCACAGCCCCAACCCAGGCACTCCACGAGAAGGCAAGGCCTAGCACAACAACAGAACGAAGTGCCTGCCCCCGCTCGCATATAAACAAGTTAAAAAGAAACCCAACGACTGGCAACAAGAAAAGGTTTTCCTTGTTAAATGCTAAACAAAAAGGCAGTCATAGGGGATCTAGAAGTTGTTGCCCCCCCCCTATACCCCATACCCGTGTCCTATCTATTACGACAAGCTGATAATGCTCAGTGATGAAGTAAAGTTGAAGAGCCTTGATTGCGGCAATAGCTTCCTGATAATGGGCATGACATATAAATCTGAAGCGAGGGTACAAAGGTTTTTCAGGGAAAGCTTGAAAATGTACTAAAGCTGAAGATGTTCTTGGAATCCTACAGAAAAATTGTGTTCGGAACTGAGATTAAATCTGCTAAGAGTAGAGGTCTTGGGAACCCTTTTATGGAGATTTTAACCAATCAACCAAAAACTCTTATAGATTTTTTTCTCCATTCCATATTTAGGTATCATTTGCGACCACATTTTTGATCATTTTTGGTCAATATTCAATAAGTTTAAATTTATATTTAAAATATTTAGAATGCCAATCGATTGGTGTATTGTTTAAAGTTCTGAAAAGGCAAGCATTATGAGAAAGCAAATGCAAATGAGAAAGATAAGGTCGAAGTTGACAAGGTTGAGTCATAGTTTAAGCCACAAAAGACACTAATAGAAGTCATCTGTCTCCGCCTCTTGTATTTCTTCTATAAGATATGCTTTGTTAAGATTCTTTTCCTGCTCTGGCGATACCTCAAGTTCAATGACAAGCTTACAGAGCAGAGCACCCCAATATGGACATAGCTTTTGCATACAATAATCCACTTATATTTCTACAAAAACAGATATATGTACATATATACGTTTTGTCATGCATCTGAGAGTTGTCAGCATATTGCCAGCAGATGACGCTGAAGTTTTGACTTCGGTGGGGGGAATCGATTTCATTTGGGCGACCTTGGCAGTCAAAACTGATTGTCGCCTTTTATGGCAGCAGCAGCAGCAGCAGCGGCATGCAATCATCAAGATACATGCAAGTACAAGTACAAGTACAAGTAACGCTGAAAGAGTAGACACAGATTGAGTGTACTAAAGTATCTTTCACAAGTATCTCTTTGGAGCTGTGGTGCCCCCTACGCACTCGCCACAAGGGGCCCACGCCAAGCCCCGCCACGCAGCTGGATAAAGTACGAGGCAAAGCGACTGGCTATTGCCAATTTTGGAGCTCCCACGACTTTTAGCTTATATTTCTGTTGCCTTCTTGTTGTTTTTGCTGTTTGTTTTTTTTTGCATTAATTACGCGCGATACGTTACGAGCGTGCCAAAGTATTTCTCTCGTATTTCTGCCTAATGATGATGCCGCAGCCAAAGCGATGACATCACTTGAAATCAAATCTCGCAGCAGTACATACAAGTAGCTCGCTGTCTGCGGAACCGAAGCGTACTCAATCAGAGCGGGCTTCAGGAAATGAAGATGAGATGTAGAACCTTATATGAGGTATATGAGACTTACCTTAACGCCAGCACCTCGACACCACGCATGCGTTTGATGATGGATACATCGGTGAGATCACTGCCCCTGGAAGAAGCGAAGAACACAGAGGGAACAAAGTTAATGCTATGCAGTGGAGGGCTCTCCCAAATGATTGATATTCGTGCAGTGAGTGCAGCCTCATAGCTGTATCTTTATCTGAGACGGGCTTAAGAGTAGGCTGCCCGAAAAAGTAGTTCAACTGCCTTTTTAGTGCTCTTTGCAGGCATTTTCATGGCACTCTAAGCTCTTGAGTGGCAGGCGTTTTTCCACTACGAAGCGGAGCATAGGCAGCCCCAGCCGTGACTCTCTCGCCAGTGGACGACACTTCTAAACTGGTTAGAAGATTGCCACCCGGGATTTGGGTCAAACTGGAGGGGCATAGGCACCGACAGGCACCCCAGTACACCAGTGAAAGCCGCCAGAGCATGCCCCAAAAAGTGGGCAGATACCCAAACAGAGATCAGAGCTCTGTACGCTTTCACCTACAGTTCGCTACTGCACCTGCATGATTAACAATAGAGATTTGATCTATTCGCAGCAGCTTACCAGCAATTTAGTTTTGTAATTAGGCCCAGATCCGATTGCTTGGCCCGAGCGATGACCATTTCCTCCGTGAGGCGCGTCATTGTGTTGCTTTCCAGTGACCCGTGCAGTAGCCAGTCGCCAGTCGCCAGTCGCCGCCGCCACCAAACAGGTGTGCCCGCCTGCTACGCTCTCCTCTCTATATGTAAACCGCACACAAATGACCAATTTCAGATGTGGTAGAGAGGTTGCAAGGCAAACAAACAACAGGTTACCACACTTACGATATATATCTCTATATATCTATGCAGTGGCTGTGTTGATGTTGCTGTTATTACACCGATTTGCCTTGACGTTGTTGCTGGTGTGTTTCTGACGTATGTTGTTGCTGTTGTAATCACTGGCGTGTCGTTGTAGGCGTTGCTCAAACTGATGCAATGAACGACTTGGGTTGGGAAGTTCCTTTGGAATGGAATTCGTATGGGAGATACAACCTCCTCAGCGAATCTCTCGCAGCAGCAGCAGCAGCAGCAGCGGCGAATCTCTCGCACGGATGACTAAGCACCGCGGTTGTTGCGCTTTTGTTTTTACTATCAACGTAATATACCGTTTTATACTCGACTCGAGCTGAGGCTTCCACCGCTTAAAACTGTTTTGCAAGCCGAAATATAACGAAAATTAATGTCGAAAATACCATTTAATGATTGTTAAACCCGCACAAATATTTCGCCAATTGTCTGGATCGATTTTTTGAGGACAGATGTTTGCAGTCTTTGCTGCCTTTCGTTAATTTGCCTGGTGTAAGAACGTGAATTTTGAATAGCCTGACAATGGCTTTAAATTCCCAATTGACACTTGGATCTTGGGGCAAACCTTGTTAAACAAAAAGATTTTCAGATTCTCCATGCACCGTGTTTTTGCAGCTACCACAAAACAAACGAAGTCTTTGCCTGCTGTACAGGTATTTCCCTCGGTTCGTGTATGTTCGTGTGGGGCAGAGTGAGACGGAAGAACAGACTCGCGCGTGCTTTACACAGTGTTCCGCTATGTTCATAAAACTACGAATAGTTAATTTTTCTCTCCCGGTGCGCTCGCCACGACAGTCGCCACTAGACTTCTTTGGGGCTTTTGGGGCCCACTATGCAACCGGAGCGATGGAGCTTTTTGCTCCAACACTGGTACTCACACAAACAAAACAATTTTACTGCATTTTTTGTTGCCTCTGTTTACGAATAGAGTGTGAAGCGGATAAGCTTGATTGGTTGCATTTCGACCAAGAATCGAACAGCAAAAGGAACTAAATATACTATGAGTAATTAAATCAGGGCTAAGCATAACATTTAAAATTGCTTCAAGCTTAAGTTTTTATTTAAACAACATTTATTTATAAACCGATTAATAGCGATGAGGCACATAAAACCGCAGCCATGACGATACCTAGATGTCGATAACCAATTATTTATTATTAAATTATATTTATCTTTCTCCTATGGTGCCCTTTCACAAAATGATTCTTATAATCGCAAGCACCCGCTAAAATATTTATAGTTCATAAATAAGAAATATTAAAGAAACCACAGTAAATCGATAGTCACTATCGATATCTTAAAATTAACGCGAATTTGAGCAGTGATATTTGTGATATTTCCGTAAAAATATTTCTTTATTTATAACAATTAATTTCTGCACTGCACTAATATTCGTGTCGCGAACGAGAAAAACATTGGTTGAGGGCGGAGCGTTTATTGAATTGTGAAACGAAACAGCATCGTAACCTTGGGCGTGTATTAATTAACTCGCTTCTAGCTGCCAGCAGCCAGCGTCTCCCCCAATTATTCTGCTGACATCTCCACCCCTTCTCCGTCCGTCCCCACCTCCTGCCCCTGACCAAGTGTCGGATATATAGCAGCAGAGCAAACATCTGGCCAGATAAGGGCGCCCTCCCCGCTCCCCTGCCCAGACCATCACATCGAATTTATTGCAAAAACGGCGCACAACATTTTTTTTGAGCTGCGGAGAAACGTTGAAACGTAAGTTGGATTACGTCATCGTTTGGGGAGCAATTTTAGACGGTGATTGGTGATTGTTTGTGTTGCTATTCATTTCTAGCCTCTCCCCTGACCAGATCGTTCTGTTCGCGCAAGTATTGGACGGCGACGCCCCCTCACCTCATCTCGTTGTGTATCTGAAATAGGCTATAGATTTGTGGACCGAAACGGACGATGATTCATGTCGGCGAGAACACATGGAACCTGCGGATCCTCATCACAGATCTGCAGGTGGAGAAGACGATTCGCGTGAAGGGCGATCAGCACATTGGCGGCGTCATGCTCCAGCTGGTTGATCCGGAAATGCCCAAGGACTGGTCGGACCATGCGCTGTGGTGGCCCGCCAAGAACGTGTGGCTGACCAGGACACGCTCCACACTGGACCAGGCTGGAGTGCAGTCGGACTCGTTTCTCCACTTTACGCCCATGCACAAGACACTGCGCGTGCAGCTGCCCGACCTGAGGTATCTCGACTACCGCGTCAACTTCTCGGCCAAGACCTTCGGGGCTGTGGTAAACCTGTGCAAGGATCTGGACATACGCTACCCAGAGGAACTGTCGCTCTGCAAGCCCGTGGAGCAGGAGCACCTGAAGAAGAACTTCTCGAAGCTGCCACAGAAGAAAATCCCCGTGGCGGAGGCCAATGGCGTCTCCTACCTGCAGCCAGCGGCGGACACGAACTCCTTTGTGCCCATTGCCGCTGCGTACAACGGTAGCAACGGCAGCCTGGACAGGTCGCACAATGGCAATCTCCTGTGTGCCCCTGCCTCGCCGTATGCAACGACACCAAGGCGTGCGGCCACGGCACCTGGAACGCCGATCAGCTCGCCCACGGGGACCTGGAAGCACAGCTCCAATGGATACACCAGCTACGATTCCAATTCCAGCTTCGGTGACTTCCAGGAGAACCTGGCCGTCTCTCCACGATCCCCCAGTCCGGATGTGCGGGCCCGTCTGGTGCGGCCGAAGACGCTGGTGGAGAAGGCTCGCCTGAATGTGGGCTGGCTGGACTCTTCCCTGTCCATCATGGAGCAGGGCGTGCGCGAGTATGACACACTCTGTCTGCGCTTCAAGTACTTTACGTTCTTTGATCTGAACCCCAAGTACGACCAAGTGCGCATCAATCAGCTGTACGAGCAGGCCAAGTGGTCCATTCTCAACGAGGAGCTGGACTGCACTGAGGAGGAGACACTCATGTTTGCCGCCCTCCAGTTCCAAGTGAACCACCAGACGGAGCTTCATCCGCCGGGCATTGATTCGGGCATAGAGACGTCCAGCCAGGAGAATGGCGGCGAGGATGACATCGATTCAGCGCTGAACGAGCTGCAAATTACACTCGAGGGACCCAGCAATGGCAAGGATCAGGGCAACATCACCAGGATACCCGAGCTGTCCGACTATCTGAGATTCCTCAAGCCACAAAGGTTCACCCTCAAGGGCTACAAGCGCTACTTCTTCACCTACAGGGATCTGCACTTGCATCTGTACAAGTCGCAGGAGGATTCGCGTCGCGGTGCTCCCTCCATCAGCATCAATCTGCGGGGCTGTGAAGTCACCCCCGATGTCCAATTGGCACAAGGAAAGTTTGCCATTCGGCTGGAGGTGCCGCCAGAGGGTCGCAGCGGTCCCAACAGCGAGGTCTGGGTGCGTTGCGAGAACGAGGAGCAGTACGCCAAGTGGATGGCAGCCTGCCGTCTGGCTGCCAAGGGTCGTTCCCTAGCAGACAGCTCCTACGACAGCGAGGTGAGCAGCATTCGCTCCCTCCTGCAGATGCAGAAGCCCGCCCAGGGCGCTCCGCTGACCATCAATCCGCGCACCGTCGAACCCATGGACTACCTGTCGCCGAAGATGCTGCGCAAGCTGTCCAGCAAGGCGGTGCAGCGGATACTGGAGGCGCATGCCAATGTGAAGAAGCTGCCGCTGATGGAATCCAAACTAAAGTATATACAAGCCTGGCAGTCCCTGCCCGACTTTGGCGTCACCCTGTTCATCATCAAGTTCGATGGCCACAAGAAGGAGGAGCTGCTGGGCGTGGCACACAATCGCATTATGCGCATGGACCTCAACTCGGGAGATCACATCAAGACCTGGCGCTACAACACAATGAAGGCCTGGAACGTAAACTGGGGCATCAAGTGCATGATGATTCAGTTCCACGATGAGAGCGTGGTCTTCTCGTGCCAGTCGGCAGACTGCAAGGTGGTGCATGAGTTTATTGGCGGCTACATCTTCATGTCGATGCGCTCCAAGGAGAACAACCAGACACTCAACGAGGAGATGTTCCACAAGCTAACAGGCGGATGGTCGTAAAGGGATCGAGCACAGACAGATGTGTAGATGTAGATGTAGATGGAAGAGTACAGCAGCAGTCTTACAAGTGCCAAGCACAAACTTCGTCGCATGTTTTATCTATATTTAAAGAGTTGTATGTGTGCGTGTGTTGCGTGTGTGTAAATGTTAATGGAAGCAGCAAATACCTTAGACTAAAAATGAATGATAACAAGCAATGTTGTGCCTTTTAGCCTGAAAAGCAATCTTAACCAAGTAGTCTCCGAGTCAATGTTTTATGTGTGTGTGTAACAAGTCCTCAAGCAGCTTGTTAAAGCTACAAATTTTAGTCCAAAATGGGGAAAAGCATGCCCATCCAACGTGAGGTTTATAGCCCCCAAGCAGGCGCCTTTTTTACTACTCTTCGTACAGTTTATTGTGTGTGGACTAACCAGCAGTTTTATATATTGTATATTTATTAAACAAATTAATAAGCAGAATAAATTATTTGATATGTTTTTAATGATCGTAAACAACATGATCGTGTGTCGCATTTATATTTACATTCTTCAGCCAGACAGATAGCAGCTGGAAACTCGAACCGAACCCTGAGCGCGGCTGAGCTGAGCTGCTCCTCTGGGGTTACTCATCCAACCACTTCGTGGACGGGGCGTGCTGCAATATAAAGCATGCTTATTGTTATTAATAACACTTTCAATTGAATTGATAAGCAGCGGAGAGCGACGTGGACTCATTCGTTGCCCCATACCAGAGATTACACAAACACTTCACGTTGATTGATGACAGGCGTTGAAGAGTTATTCTGAATGGGGTCGGTCGTCTGCGCAAGATGGCATGGGAGAAAAGTATGCAATTTAATTCAATTATGCATTATAGAGTTATATCTGAGGAAATTTGCAATGATTTCTGCCATATCTTTATACATATAACAATGTGCAACTTTATTTGAAATTCGCGCTCTTCGGCGGTGCATCGATAACACGTTTGCTGCTGCCCTGGCAGCCTATCAAAAACGAGCATTTTAGCGTGAAAGCTCCCTTGTTTCCTGAAAATATGGAAAATATATAGAAATAAAAGAAAACAAATAAAATCAATGAAAACACCATCCATAGGTGATTAGTTAGACGATAATGAAGATTTTTCACCATTATCCGGTTTTCTTTAGCGAAAGATAGGAGTAATTCCAATGAATAAGCCGGAGTATAGACCCAATTATGTTGTAAAGATAGAAGAACTGCCGCCCCCAACCACTCCGAGCTTATTATAATATTTACTTATGTTCCCTTTGTGCAATTTAAAGGAAACCAATATAATTTATTTTCGTCTTTTGTTGGGCTCGGTATTTTTCAAACATTTTTAATGACATTGGTTAACATACATGTGTCTCTACATGTTACATACATTTACATACTGAAGAAAAAGCTCCCTTGCTTCCAGACGTGGTGATTTGGATGAAAAATTTGGTAAAATGTAAGGTCATAAAGTATACAATCCAATAAAAATGAGTATTTATAATAAGCAAAATTAATTCTTCAATCGGATTAAAGTATGGTTTCAGTGTTGAAAGTTTTTTCAAGCTAGTAATTTTAAATAGAACATCAAAATCGAGGAATGTGATTTAAGAAATAAGGATTCTTTTACGGTATATTTTGAAAATGAAAAAGTATATTTCGGTATATTTTCGAGGCTCTGACGGTATATAATATCGATAACTTCGCGGTCACACTAATTTAGCCCCCTCGTGCGCCGTCATATTTTGAAAGAAAATTCTTAATTTTTGCTAAACAAACCGACTTGTATTCGAATTATTGCTTGTAGTTTGTTTCGGGCGGTTTTTTAAGGACTGAGCATCATAATGAGCACCGAATCAACGAAACCTGCGCCCAACCAGGAGGCAATTGTGGCCCAGTTTCAACAGCTGCGGAACGACCAGCGAAATTTGGCCAACAATCTAAATACCCTGGAAATGGACTTGCGGGAGCACAAGTGAGTCACCAGCCGGCCTCCGAGTAGACATTGAAATGCTAACAATGTGTTTTGTTTGTTACAGAACTGTGATAGAAACATTGAAGCTGGCCGATCCGGATCGCAAGTGTTTTCGTCTGATTGGCGGCGTCCTCTGTGAGCGGACCGTGAAGGAGGTGCTGCCGCAGCTGGTGGAGAACCAGGACTTTATTGCCCAGACCATTACCTTAATCACTGAGGATCTGAGCAAAAAGGGCACAGAGCTGAACAAGTTCAAGGAGGAGCACAACATCAAAATTCGTGGCGAGCACCTGGGCGCCGAGGGTGGCAAGGATGCGGAGACCAGCGGCAGCAAGTCTGAGAACCGCAACGTACTCGTCTCCAACTAGAGAGCAGAGAACCCAGCCAGCGCAGCGTATTTATTGTGTCTATGTATGAAATGAACTCTGCCAAGATAACTCAACCGATCGCCGGATCATGGATTGAAAAATCGAAGTTCTAATGTTATATGTATTTTTAGCTGTAAGGCGAGTTCACACGCCCACTCACATCCCAAATCTCTCATTCACGCGCATAACACACCACTCAACCAAACCACACACCGGCACCGAAAGTAAACCACTTCTGTAACAGAATATGAACCACTCGTCTGGTGCTTTATTGGAATGCTTCTCAGGACTGCTCCCGGCGCTGATAGTCACGCTTGCCGCCGGACTTCCTCAGCAAACGGATGTTGGTGATGCAGATGTCGTGGGACACGGCCTTGCACATGTCATAGACAGTGAGGGCAGCAATGGAGACGGCTGTTAGGGCCTCCATTTCGACGCCCGTCTGGCCGGTGCAGCGCACAGAAGCCTCCAGCCGCACGCACTGCTCGTTGGCCAAGGGTTGAGCCTGCACCTTAACCGAGGACAGCGGTATGTTGTGGCATAGGGGAATCAGCTCTGATGTGCGTTTGGCTCCAATTATTCCCGCCAGTTGAGCCACACTCAGGACATCGCCCTTGGCCAGCTCGTTGGCTGCAATGAGCTGCGTGAGCCGCTCCCCCACCAGAACGGTGGCTTCTGCTTGGGCCAGTCGCATGCTGGTTGGCTTCTCGCCGACATCCACCATTTGGGCCTTGCCCTGGGCATTGACGTGGCTGAGGCTGCTGCAATGGCGGGCTGCCTGGAGCAGCTGTGAACGATGAGAATGAAGATGATGGTGGAACAGTGCAGCACTTGCAATGGTAGATGGGCGACTGGTGTCTGCTAGCCGCCTATCAGTATCATTGGGCGATTTTCCATCTGCGAGAGGTTCAGCATGCCTGGGGGAGAATGCTGAAAATGTGAGTACTCCTCCGTGACTTCTCCTGCAATGGAAATCCTTCAAGCTCACCTGCATGCTGTCGTTTCTTGCGTCGCACTGCGGCTCCGATTAGATCCACCAGATCCTCCTCGGACACGTTGCTCCGCATGGCATCCCGCAGCGAGAACTCCTTGTTGCCAAACAGACACACCTTGATGTTGCCATCTGCGGTGAGCCTCAGCCGATTGCAGGAGCCGCAGAAATGCTCTGTCATGGAGGTGATGAAACCCACCTGTCCCTTGAAGCCCGGCACTGCAAACGCCTTGGATGTGTCGTTTGGCCCATTTGGCAGTGCCTCAAACTCGGGCCATCGTTGGCGAATCAGCTCCACCGTCTCTTTGAACGAGATCAGCCTGTCTGTGTGCCATTTGTTGCCGGAGAAGGGCATGTACTCGATGAACCTAACGTCCACGGGCCGATCTCTGGTGAACTCCACAAAGTCGCAGACTTCGTCCTCGTTGAAGTTGCGCATCAGCACGCAGTTTACCTTTGGGCGGTAGCCCAGCTGCACGGCCAGGTCGATGCCAGCAATTACCCGTTCCCAGCCCTTCCTCCTGGTAATCTTCTCGAAGCGATCCTTCTGCAGTGTGTCCAGACTAATGTTGAGCGAGTCCAGCCCGGCCCTTTGCAATGGTAGCAGCAGACGTGTCAGCACCAGGCCGTTTGTGGTGATGCCCACATGCTCCAGCTGCGGCAAGGCCTTCATCTCTGCCACCAAATCGACAATGTCCCGACGGATAGTGGGCTCGCCGCCCGTGAGACGTATCTTGCGAACTCCCTGCTCCACAAAGATGCGTGCCAGACGAAGTATTTCCTCGGTGGTCAACAGCTTATCCTTGGGCTGCAAGGGCACTCCATCCGCGGGCATGCAGTAGTCACCTGGAAACACATGTTATTCATCAATTTCGCCACAACATTTAATTATGCCAGAGGGATCCACTTCAGCAAGAGTGTGCCAGTGGGCCCTGGGCCTCTTATCGTATCATGCTTGGGTGCCGCTGATAAACGTTCGATTGGCCCAGAACCTGTTGCGGTAGGTAGGTTGAAAACTTACAGCGCAAATTGCAGCGTTCCGTGAGTGAAATCCGCAAATAGGTGTGGTGTCGCCCAAACGTGTCTGTCAGCGGCGAGTCCTATGGAAAATAGGATTAGCTTACTGAATTCTCATTAGAAATGTAGCTGGTTAGCTGACCCACCTGTTTGTTGGCTCTCTCCGGCTCCGTTTGCGCACTTGTTGCCAATTTTAGGGAACCGGTTGCCGCTGCCGAAGCCTTCTGGCGGAGCGGAACCGGTGCTGCAGTCTGGCAGAGCAGCCTATTCGCGTATTTCACCAGCAGACGCATTTGATTGATGTTTTGCGCTCTAATAAATGAAGCTTACGTAAACCGTCAATTTGCTGGGGGGCTACTGAATGAAAGCATACCGTTTAATACATTTTAATGATAAGCAATTACATATGCTCACGGCAGGAGGCGCTCTTGCTCTATCTCTAAATATTGGGCAGCGCGCGATCCACTCCACAGTCGCCGAGCTTTGTTTGTAAACTAACTGAATGGATGATCAAACGGTGTTCTTTTGGAGCTTTAGATCGGTCAAAGCTCCCCACTTATCAACGCCACGCTGGTGTGTGTTTGTGGGGGCTACAAGCAGAGGGTAGGCTAATGTTTGGCAGTTGCTCCCTCATTACCACAGCAGAATTGTGTAAACTGCTTAGAGCGGCAAACTCACTGCTTTGTCAGCACATGCATATTGCAGGCCCACTGCTTTAACATCTTGCAAGTTGCACAAAACACCTGCAGAGCATAAGCAGGAAAGGTGTGGCATTTCTTATGGTCGTATTCTACCACACTTCGGTCTGGAAGATGATTGCTGCCACCAGATAAACTAAAAATCTTAATATAAAGATTATTTTTCTCTGGCTCTCATTGGTCTGTCTGTGCAGTGTTGGCAAACTCCAGTGTCATACGACCATAACCGATAGCATTCGATAACCAAAACAACAGCTGTTTGTGCTATTTTGCACTTTGATCGTCTGTTGACAATGTTGAAATCTTCAGAAACATTCCAAATAAGATAACAAAACAATGGACTTTCGAAATGCCCGTGCCAGGCAGCCGGAAATCGTGCGATCCGTGCAAAAGGATGCTCGATATACGAACGAACTGGCAGAGGACTTCTCGGATGTGCTGCGCCTCACCGGTCCGCGCAATTGGATTAAATTCAATCAAATGTGCAAACTGCTGGCGGAGCTCAGCTATCATGGATTCGCCTCGATGAACAACCTGCAGACACTGGGCGAGGAATACACGGGCATCATACAGGTGGACGGCAACTACAAGCAAATACCCAGTCGACTGGCAAGTCTAGAAATGGGATTTAATAAAACAAAATACAGTCTGACAATGGTTCCTTGCAGATGCAACTACTTGCCATTGTGCTAGAGTTTGGTGGGGATGCGCTGTTTCTGAGATTACTGCAAAAGCTGGAGCTGTACATAGCCAGTCACGAGGAGATACGACCCGAGGCCAAGCTGCAGCTGAAGAAGGTCATCCATCGCCTGAAGCAGTCGCCCGGCTATGTGAAGGCCCTGCACAAGTCGCTCTTTTACCTGAACTCCAGCAAGTACCAGCTGTCCAAGCGCACCACTGGCATCAACTACGTGCTCATCCGTCACTGGCTGCAGCCAGAGTTCTCGCTTTATGGCTACAAGATTCTGGGCGTCATTACATTCCTGCAGGTGACCGTCTCCCTGGCCATCAGCAGCTGGGATGCCTGGCGGGAGCACAAGCGGCAGCAGCTCGAGTCGCTCAAGTCAACGGGCAAACGTTTCCTGCAGCGCGCAACGAGTGTCAAGAGTCATGCGGACGGCGATGCACCGCAGTGCATACTCTGCCTGGAGCCGCGCACCAACTGCAGCCTGGCGCCATGCGGCCACATCTTCTGCTGGAGCTGCATTCTGGAGTGGCTGGAGGAGCGCGACGAGTGCCCGCTGTGCCGCGAGTCCCTGAAGAAGTCGCAAGTGATACAACTGCAGAATTACGCCTAGGATTAATGTGTATTTCGTTTTTTATTTAAAACAGTTTCTATGTACATACATCTTATATGAGGAGGATTGTTGTGTCCTAACTATATGTTTAGTTCCTAATTATAATTGTATTTACATTACGCTAGATGGTCAAACAGTCGAACGTCTTATATAATCTCCAGATGAATGGAGCGAGTAAAGATTTGCTTCCGACGCCGCGTCTCGTACGCCGAGCGCGCCTCTGCTGGTGACTCGAAGGCCACCCTGGTATCGCCGGTGGGCTTGCCGTCGTCATTGAAGCGTCGGATAATATCATCGGGACTTAGTTTGTAGTCACTGAAGAAGCGTAGAATGTCCTTCAGCTCAGCCTTGAAGGGAACATTGGTCATGGCCACCACACAGCCGGGACGATTGAATTTGTCGGGTATCGAAGAGCTGCTGCTGCTGCTGTTGGACACATTCAGCGCTGGCGACAAGCTGCCACTTGCGATTGGCGGTGGATCTGGCCTGGCAAACGGATTAAAGTGCTGCTTTTGTGAGCTGTTGCTATCCTCATCCTCCTGCCGCTGCCGCTCTGGTGGCGCCTGCTGCTGCTGTTGTTGGTTGTTGTCGAAGCGACTGGGGCCACGGCGTCTGGACGTTGGCTGTGCCGACGCCTGCACGCTGTTGCCACCATTGTCGGTACGCCTCGGGCCATTGCCCCCGGGCAAGTAGTCCATAAACGGCTTGTTCATGCGATCGGCAATCTCCTGTGGAGTGATGGGCACCACTCGCAGACCACGGCCACGGAATCTGCGATTGTGGAACTCCCTGATGGCCTGCTTGGCATTGGGCCCATCCGCAAATTCGACAATAAACTCACCCGAGCTCTGATTGCGATCGTTCAGCAGCATCTCAATGTGTTCGATGCGCAGATTCTCCAACGAGAAGAGCTCCCCCAGATCGTTGACCCTCGTGGCATACTCACAGTTGTGCACACGAACGAAATTATCCTCCTGGCGGGGCGGGCGCAGGCCCTCGTTCTGATTGTGGGGCATGGGCATGCCGCCAAATGGACCGCCACCGTTGTGGTTGCGATTTATCGATTGATCCATGGATCCTCCTCCGCCATTGTGGTTCATGTTGCGATTTTGCATTTCCATATTGTTATTGTTATTATTATTGTTATTGTTAAATGGGAAATTTGGGCCGCCGCCGCCATTGTTTTGTTGTTGTTGTTGCTGTTGTTGCAATTGCTGTAGCTGCTGTTGTACGACAAATGGCAGCATACCGTTAGCCATTGGGCCAGTGTTGACAAACGGTTGCATGTGATTCTGCTGCGGCATTTGCTGTTGTTGCTGTTGCTGCTGCTGGTCGCGATTTTCATCCGCACGTCGCCGCGGATCGTTGTTAAATCTCGCCTGCATGGCCAACTCCTCGCGCTGCTGTTGCAGCAGCAGCTGCGCTTGCGCCAACTGTCGCCGCTTCTGATCCTGCAGCAGTTCCTCCCGCTGGTCGGCCTCTTCCTTCAGTAGCTGCTCGTTGGCCCGACGCTGCTTCTCCTTGGCCTGCAACATCTCCGCCTGACTGCTGGGACGCACACGCAGCTGCCGGAAGCCAATATAATGCCGCGAGGTGTCCTCCAGGGCCGACAACGCCTCGGACTCACGTGCAAACAGCACAAAGGCGACAAATTCGCGCCGATTATTGGGACTCGGCGCCAGCAGAATATCCACAATGGTGCACGTGGCAGAGAACATCTTCATGATGTCCTGCTCTGTGGTTAACTGCGGCAGATCCTCCACATAAAGAACATTGAAGCTGGGCATGCTGCTGCCTCGATCGTTAACAACATTGCGACCGCCGCCGATATCTTGTGGCGGCTGCTGCTGGTGATGCTGATTGCGATGGGATTTCTCTTCAGCCTGCTCGAATTCCGCATCCCCGATGGGCACAATCTGCACCAGGCGATCACGGAACATAGTGTTGTGGCGCTGCAATGCCTTCTGGGCACTGGACACCCGCGAGAACTCAATGTACGCCACTCCAGTGCGACTGCCGTTCACGGTCATGATTTTGATGCCATTGTGCGGTATATAGAGACCCTGGAAGTACTTGCGCAGATCGCTGTAGGAGGTGCTCTGGCACAAGCCACTGATTTTCACGTAGCAAGTGTCGGCCACTGCCGAGGGCATACCGCCACCACGAGGACTGTGACTGCCCCCGCCACCTGGCGAACCGCCCAGGGACGGAGAGAGCTTGGCCGCCGTCTGCTGCTGGAGGAGCGCTTGCTGCTGCTGCTGAAACAACTGCGGATAGATCTGCGCATACGGATTGACACTGGCAAACGCAACGGGCTGCTCCACCGCCTGTCTTTGGACTTGCTGCTGTCCCTCCATTTGGGCAGGACTGTTGGACCCTGCTCTAGCGGCTGCCTGCAGAGCGGCTATCAATTTGTGTGCATCTGGAGCCAGTGGCGGTGCTGGTGCTGGCGTTGACGGACCATTGGCATTGGTCATATTGTAATTATTGGTGATATTATTCGTGGTATTGCTGGTCGTATAGTTCTGCAGCGAGGGCAGAACGGGGGGCACTCCCAAGCCCAGGCCGAGGCCGAGACCCATGCCTATGCCCAGACCCGGAAGACTCACGGCGGCAGCAGTCTGCGGCGGATTGGCCCAGGGCGACAGACCACCAGCTACAACACCACTCATGCTGCTGGATTGTAGCTTCAGCTCGCGCTCACTGCTATCGGCACGCTCTTGGCGACGCTTACGGATCGCTCGATCACGCTCCCGTTCGCGTTCGTGCTCAAGCTCCCTGTCACGTTCGCGTTCACGTTCTCGCTCACGCAGCTCACGATCGCTGTCCTCAGAGCTGGAGGATCGACTGCGACTACGACTGCGGCTCTGGCGGCGAATATCCCTGCCGCCTGTAACCTCCGCCAGCACAATGCCGGCCTGCTGCTGATAGTCCAGAAAAGAGGGAACCCCAACTGGCTTGCTCTGGCTTTGGCTCAGGAAACTGTTTAGGCCACCAATGATCGGTGGCTGCGGTGCTGCAACTGGCATGGGCACCGGCACGGGCACAGGCACTGGTGCCGGGGCAACGACTGGTGTGCGTGCCGACTCGATGACTTTTTGCATTTCGGCGCGCGATGAGAGCAGCAGGCGCACCTGGCTCTCCATGAGTTTCTCGCAATTCTTCAGCATGGCGACACGGGCATCCTCATCAGTGCTAAATTTTGTTTGTTGACGTTGACAAAAAGAGAGAGAGAGAGAGAGAGAGAGGAAGAAAGAGAAGCAACAAATGAGGCTAGCAGTTCTCAAAGAATTGTCTGATTTTTGTACGGTATGTTATGATGGCGGCACTGGAAACCCCCGCCCACATCCTGAACCCACCAGGAGCTCCGTGCTACTTAAAAATCTACTTAAAAGACTAGATTTTTGTTTTGTTTTTGTTTTTTGTTGTGCTAACTACCTGAAAGCGATGAAAGCATCGCCATTCTCGCCTCCAATTATGTGGACACCGCCCTCCGGTATCGAGAGGCCCGTGAAGAAATTTCGTATGTCGCGAGCATTTGCCGTCCACGGCAGATTTTGTAACCGAATAATCACACTCATCTTGATCAATCAATTAGCTTTCAAATTGCAATTTATTTCTTTATATTCAGAGAGACAGAGAGACGCACGTATCTCTCAATCTATCAATGATCCTTTGCTGTCTGCTCTTTCAGCGATTCCTCCATCGATTGATCGCAATTCTGGATAACAGCTTCAGCTGTTCATAAGGAAGATACTCGACGACTTCCTTTAATAATCGCTGCTTGGATCTGTAAGAAGAATGAGAGACATTTGGATTGTGTGGCAAACTAATTAAAAAGGTAAGAGAAACTTTTGTTAGATTAAATATAACTAATCGATCGCATTGTGGCACCCTCGTGTGACCCGACAAAAAGTTGTGTGTTAAAGTATTTCCCCATCAGCATTCATAAGTAAGAAAGACATCAGGGTTAAGCAGCTATTTTTCAGCCCATAAATGAACATGATCTCCAGTAATTTATATCAAATCAAACCTTATTTATGATCAAGATCGGTCCTTAACAATAATTTGTTTACGCTTTCAATTGCATTATTGAACAATAGTAGAGAAGCAAACGACGAAAAGTTTTTATTAGCGATTTCCATAGGTCCCCGATTACCGTATTCCAGAATACATTTTCCAAAAAATATTCCATTAAATTATAGCGTCAGGCAATGCAATTTCAGACTATTCTATAATCTATCATGCAAGATTCTAGGTCCTAAACCTTTTACCTTTTAAGTAGCAGATTCTTGCTTTTCCCATTAATGTTGCTTTTCTACTGGAAATAATTTTTATAGCAAAATATTGTAATATTTCCCATATATTAATAGCGTCAGGCAGTTAAATAATCGATTTTCATCACATTTTTCTCTATGATAAACATTTCTGCGAGTCCTACGTCTGTTCTGTTGACATATTTTGTTGGATTCCATTGGGAAAAAAACTCAGGGAAGAGACAAGGATTTTCAGCTCTTGCGGTTCATATTCCCTAACTCATTTTCTATAATTTCGTGCAATTACATTTCAAAGAAATATAACTTCAACCTTTACCGAATGGCAAACCATTTTTCCCCACTTATTCGAAGCGTCAGGCCAGAGGAAGTCGTAAATATTTTTCCTTCCATTAATATCATATATTTGAACTATTTTTTGGCAGCTTTAATTTTAGTCATTTTTATTCCATTCAAGTCATTCCATTTTCAAAAATAAAGTAACACCCATTGAGGGGAGCTTAAGGTTTGAGCCCCACCCAAGAGCAGCTCTCTATATCTCGCATTGAACAGCATTGAATGCAATTCTCCATTTCCGACATAGATAAATCTTTGTTTGTGGCTGTACGAGGACTTCCTGAGTGGGGTAAAAGCCTCATTGCTACAGATAATTATAGCAGGATATTCGCTCTGCCGCACATTTCGGGATACACCATTCGCGACTGAGTTCGCATTTTCCCATGACAATCTATGGTTCGTCTGTTTAGGCTATTACATAAGACGATACCAGTTATATCTTAATCAGCTGCAAGTCGTTTTTCACAGGCAAAGTAAAACCTCCACACGAGAAAGATCTGTGTCTGTGGCTCACTTACCCAGGAGACGGCTGTGACCTTCGCACATGATTTTCCATAGTGGCGAAAGGATGATTGAGTTGTCCCTGCCTATTGATACTCCCCCATTAAATGAATGCTCCACCATTCCATCCACGATTATTGGACGGCTTCAATTTCCTCATTAAGAGGCGCATTCAAATAGCTTGGCCCGCAGGGGACGGGGGCAAACCATGCAAACTGCTTTCCCGAAAAAGAAATGCCACGAAAAACCCGTTGAACGTTGTTGGGTTTTGTGTTTGGTTCGTTATGGGAAAGCCATTACATTATCCAGCTTTAATTCAATTGCTGCTTAAAAAGTCGATACGACAGCCAGGCGGCGGACAGCTGCCAATAGACAGCATTAGGAGCACTTGGGGAGGCCTGATCCAATCCGAGTGAGTCGGTTTGTCAGTGTTTCGATGTCAAAGACATCAAGAGTCGGGGCGGGGGAGCTGCTGCTACTGCTGGAGACGTCTATCAGCGGCGGCGCTTCAGGAAACCCAAAACTCCTTTTCACACTCTTCACACAAAGTCGTCACAGGCGACTCCTTCGCTTCCGCTTGGCTATATAAAAAGCATTGTTGGCCATGTGGCCAGGCAGTAACACAAACGAATTGACCGCGTAACCGTCTCCGTCGAAGTCGGTGTTAATCATCTTAGTGATCGTGATCGTCACCGACATCGCCAACAGCCAGTAGCTCTGTGATTGATTGAATCGTTAGATCGCATCGATAGCTCGGATCGCATGCATCGTTGAGCATTAAAGCAATGATAATTCCCACAGTGAGTGATTGATCGATGTGTGCCTCAAAGTATGGACTCAAGCTGTGATTTATACCCCCTTGTCGCGACGATCCTTTAAGCACCTTAAGGATCGCAAAAGAACGAATGTGTCTGGGGGTTAATGAGAGGCAAAACTTACTGTTTGATATTTATCCTATTAGATTCGCACTTTAAACTTCAGTTCTTATTTTAAAATTCCGCCGCAATCAATCACACAGATCTTTATACCCAAAATATTCAGCACATTCCACACTCTCTCGTTATCATTTATCTGTCTAAGAATGCTCTGCAATACACAAAACAAGATTAGATAAATACTGAGCTGCATTAGGCATGAGAAAGATATTAAATTAGAAATACAAATATCAGATAGGAGACTTTAATGCTTATGGAACCACTCAAGGGCCTTACTAACCCAGAGATCTATGCAAATTTTGGACAGCGGAGAGACATAATGCTGATTCTGAACTGACTCCTACAATCTCTAAAGCTTTCAAGAACTAAAAACTCAGAAAATCTCAAGAGAAACAAACCTTAAACTGCTCAAATTCTCACCCCCAATCTCTCTCGGGCCTTACTCAACCCAAAGATCGATTTAAATAAAGATTTTTCACATGGAAAAACTCAAAAATAATGATCGTACAGTTTCCCTGCTTTCAGATAATGGCCGCTTTGGGCCTTCTAATGCTTGTTGGCGTCCATGGAACCACAATAATCAGCATTGAATACCCGCAACAGCAGCAACAGATGGCAGGCGTCGGCCAGATGGGACTGGAGCATCCGCAGCCGGCAAAGAGGGATCTAAGCTTGAGCTATGCGGCCACCAATATTGACTCCAAGGAGGGGACACGCGTCAAGACCATCACCGTGATCAAGAATTTGGGCGGCGTCCATGGTGGAGATTTGCAAAAGCAGCAGCAGAAGCTCGCCATCGATCCATCACTGCATCAGAACGAGGATTGGGCGAGTGCATTTCGTGATAACTTTGACTCCTATGGGTCCCTGCCCGATGTGCCCGACATAGACGATTTGTTTGAGTTTGTGAATCGCAAGAAGCCCGATGAGCCGAAGAAGACACAGGAAGCGGAGGTCAAACCCAAGCCAAAGCCCAAGACCGTAGAGGAGACAACCACCAGAAAGGCAATCAGCGAGCACAGCGGCAGCAGCAGCAGTAGCAGCGGTGGCAACAGTGACAGCGATGAGGCAGTGGTGGAGAAGATCAAGGGCGATGCCGAGCTGTTGCCGCACATTAAGCAGGCGAATATCCTACGTCTGCAGGCGGCCCAGGCACGCGCCTCCATGGAGAGTCGCCAGAAGACACGCGAATCCCTAATAGCCGTCAACTACTCGACGCCCATGCACCAGGTGACGCAGTACTTTGACAATTATGTCCAAGCGGTGCCCAATGGCTATGATTACAGCAAGCCATGCGGCGCTCCCCCTCCGGGTAATAGCTATCAGGTGACGACACCTTCGGGACGCACATACGACATACCGCAGAGCAATAGCAGCGGCACTGGTGGTGGCAATCATCCATACTTGGCGCCGTCGCTCACGAAGAAGACGCAGATTCCGCCACTGGCGCCGGCACAGCCTCAACAGCCGCAGGGGCAGCAGCCGCAGTCGCCTAACTACTCCTCGGTCAACTCGCTGGTGCCGCCCGTGGGCAATCCTCCTCCGCAGGCACAGGCGCAGCCTCCTTTCCAGCAACAGCCGCAGCCCCAGCAGCCAAATGGCGGAATACTGCCGCCCCTTCCGGCTGCCGGCAATGGGATCTCCACCAGCCAGCGGCCCTATGTGGCACCCAGGCTGCGCAACAATGGGCTGGGCATCAATCGGGGACCAGTCTCACCTTTGCCACCGCTCGGCTCGACGCCCCAGCAGACGCCCAGCTTCCGCTCTGGCATCTTTGGCGGCGGCGGCGGCGGCGGCGGCGGCGGCGGTCCGAATACGTTGCGATCGCGTGGCCTAAAGTATTGAGCACAGACTACATATAATATATATTCGGGTCTACGAACTGTAGCTTAGCTTAAGCGTCAAGAGAGTTTCCTAATAAACACAACACATTGTACTATGACAGTATGAAAAAAATCAATAGCGTGGGCTGGCCCGCTGGCCGCGCATTTTGCCCTACTTTTCACTTGAGTGGATTTTTGGGTTTCTTTCACTGTTTACACTATTTTCTTTTGCTGGACCACGCGATCCACCCAGATAGTGGGCTCCAGGGTCGTTTGGGGGCACAGCCCCTGCTGTGGGTTGGGCGCCGTACGAGTGTACGCACGATTTATTCAATGAACTTTTACTCACCTCACACCAAATGGAAACCATACAAATACGCAACTTATTCGAGGGGCCAATGCACAAAGACATGTGGGGTTCGGTTTTGCTGCAATCGCTATATATTTATTCGGTTAATTTCTATTGCTTATTTCAATGTGAGTCGAAAATTTACAGCAAACAAAATTAAAATGCTGTAATTGCTGAATATGACAGAAAAAACATGGCGGCCACGCGTATCTACTAGTGACAGCGGAACTATCGATAGGATATACCGTCGGACCCTCAGAAATATACAAAAATATACCTTCTCATTTTAAAAATCTACCTTAGTCTTAAATCATATTCCTCGACTTTAATGTTCTATTTGATATTACTACCTTTCAAAGACTTTTAACGCTTTTTTTAAATTGAAAAATCAATTTATTGGATTGTAAATTCATTGAATTTCATGGTCATGGAAATTCTCCTTCAGACGCTTTCCCGATCTCAGAAAAATATCGATATATTTCTGCGACTCATTTTTGCGTTTGGCGCAGAAATACGCTAATTTATTTGAAATGAATTATTTCCTTTCTTCTCCTTATATTATAAAACATTATTTTCCTTTATAATCACTCTTTGAATTTCTTTTCGATTATTTTGCAAAAGCTATTAAATTTCCTAAAGAATTACGGTATATTAAAAAAAGGCAATTTATATTTCGATATATATTTATGAGGATCTGTCGGTATTTTTATCGATAGCTCCACGGTAACACTGTTTCACATTCAGCTGCATAAATAATTATTTGTAATATTTTTGAGTTTTTTTATCTGCCTAAATAATACAAAAACTGTGGAAAGACCTTGCAGCGAGTGCATAAATCACGTATTAAATATTTGCCTTGGTTTTTGCGTTCGTTTTCGGGAAAAACGAACGCTCTGCCAGACACAGTCCGCACACACATAAACGTCGACGTCAGTGGGCGACGCGCAAAAAAAAAAAAACCGAGAATTGCGATAGAGCAAAAGAGTGCACGCACAAGCTGAGGAAAAGCGAAAATTAAAAGGAATTTTTGCACTGGACTGGGAAAACGCAAGCGCCAGCGCCAATCGTGGAGAGTTGTTTTGTGAAAAAGGTATTGTAAATATAATTAATTGCTGCTGCTGTGCAAAACAACAGTTCCGTGTGCGTATGTATGTGTGCGTGTGAGTGTGTGAAAAAGTTGTTTTCCCTGAAATGTCTGGTTTTTGATTTTGGTATAAATAACCAATTTTGATGACGAAATTACTTAAACGGGCTTCAGTTGCCAGAGATTCAGAGAGTGGAGTTGATATTTATAATCATTTTTGCATTGATAAGACAGGTGGTGTCTCTGTGGCAGCCACCGAGCAGCAGTGTTCGTGTGTGTGCGTAGCGGGAGGGTTGATAAGCTCCTCTCCGTGGAGACTCTCCCACAAAGGTCGCATATGGCTGGCATTTCGTTTTACCAATATTTTGACAGCTCGAAAATCAATTCAAGTGGCGCTGAAGCAGAAGCTAAAGCTAAAGCCATACAAGGCCCACTCTATTCCACTCCACCCTCCTCCCACCCACTCTGTCTCCCTCTCTCTACAGCTGTACAAATATGTAATTAGCACCGACTGATTTTTCAACTTCATTTTGCGACTTCCCCCTTTCGCATTATTCAATAATCCGCCACTCTTCTGTCTGTGTGTGTTTCTTGCTTTCTGGCCCCCTTTTGGCTTGGCTCTGTGGAGACTCTGTTGGAGAGTGTGAAGCGCATACGCTCTCCTCTGCCATCAGCCAATTTCTCTGTGTATCTTCGATGGCAGCAACTTGTTGTTGGTTCTGCTTTTGTGCAGTGTGGTGGCTTCTGTTGGCCTCGAGTGTCGCGAGATTTGTACGCAAATTCATTCGTTTATCACCTTTTGTGTGTGTGCACGCCTGAAAACCCATCATCATCATTGGTTTGGTTTGGTGCTTCAGGTTCAACGTTGCCCCAACGTTTCGTGACTCATGTCCGTGACTTATGTACGCGTTATCTGGAGTAGTATTTTAAGTAATTTTTTACGTATATTGTTGAAACCCCGCGATTCCCCGCAGAACCCATCTGTGGGAGTGAGTATTTCCTGTAGAAACCCAGTAGAATCTCAGTAGAAAACATTTGTAATAACTGAGTAGTACCCACAGAAACAAACCAGTGTTGATTTAACCTTTTTCTGTAGCTGTGGCATCATTTTTCGAAACACAAATTTACGAAAACATTTTCAAAACACCACTCTGCTCTTTTTCCGTAATATGGAGCAATCATCAAGAAGAGCTTAAATCAAGATGAAATTGAACATTTCGTATCCGGTGAATGGCACCCAGAAACTCTTTGTGGTGAACTACGAGCACAAGGTGCGCATTTCTACGACAAGCGCATGGGCGCTTTGCTTCAGGCCGATCCCCTTGGGTTCGAATGCAGCCGGTACGTGGCTGCATCGTGAACGCGAACAGCTCGGTGCTGGCTTTCCGATGTAGTCATCCTCAATCCTATCAGCTTTATGGCTCAAAAAAGGAGATTCAAATTAATAAAAAGCTGTTTGGTAGTTTCGCTTTTCTTGTAGTTGTACTACCACCTCGTCTGGTATATTGTACTTTAAGCTTTAGGCTTGGCTAAGCTATGGCAATTTATATGGTCGTTTGCCTCTTATTTGGTCTATTTTACGGGTCCTATATTTACGAGGGACATTGTTCTTCTGGTTTTAAGTCGTTTTTCAACACTACCGAGTAGTGTTTTCAATCGTTTTCAAGTGGTTTTTTAGTACTTTTACTTCGTAACCAATGGAATTGTTATTTTTATACCAATTCTATATGGCTATTGTCCTCCACAGCCTCTCTTTTCTATTATTTGTGATATTTAACAGCTCCACCATGTTTATGTTTCCCCGCCATGCTGCAATCCGCCATGTGTCATTTCAAGTGTTTCGTTTTTCTTCTCTTCTGCATCATTGCAATCAATTTTAATTGATTCTGAAGCTATTTTTGTACGCCTCATTAACTTTAAAGTGATCCTGCTATCTGCCCACAAAAAAGCTTGCCATGGATTTCCGAACCGAACTCCCATCCAAATGAGATTCCAGTTGAATGAACCTTCCCCTCTCAGAGTGCATCGATGTTTCAAGAGTGAATATGTAGATTGTTTATTTTCCCATTTGTTTATTGATTGTTTTTGCCCTGCAAATGCTGTGGTGTGCCAATCAATAAGGAGCTCATAGGAGTGACCCTGAGACAGGTGGCATAACTCTTGTGTGGCGCGTCCCAGAGTCCATTATTAATATTGGATTGCGTGATGATCTAATGCGCGCCCCCTCAACCCAGACCATCCTTTGCTGCTGGCTGTCACTGTTTCTCTGCTCCACATTCTCCATTTCGTTTTTAGCTGTTGACCCAATTCTCGTCTACAAACATTGTTGCAAGTTCTCTTGATGGTTGCCATGGCGTGCCTGCCACACAGCCAGTCGCCCCCGCAGTCAGTGTCGTCGTCGTTGTCGTTGCCGGAACGTTAGTCGGAACGATGTTCGTGTGAAAGTCGAGACGGGAATGTAAACAGTTGCCGCCTTTGCGTTAGTTGTCTAATCTGCCTAGCCCTAAACATATTTCGAGTACATTTTAGTTGTAGTTTATCTGGATTCAGCACCAGCACTCGTAATAATAATCGTTCTCTATATTTTCAAGCATGAGCACAACCGCCGCCAGTCTCATTGAGGCGGCTCTAAATGCCAGCAGCAGCTTGGCTGCTAGCAACGTAACAACGACAACAGTGAAACCCAATACCAATTACGTTGTCCAAGTGAAGGATCCAATGAGTGCGCCCCTTGCACCACTGCTCCATGTGGGCGATGGAATATTCCTGCAAACGAAGACCGCCCAGGTGCTAGCGGGTGTGTGTGTATGGGCCGCACTCTTCATCACCTGTCAACAGGTAAGAATGAATGATTATACGATAAACCTTTGGCTAATGTTTACCTTTTTTTTTAGATCTATCAGCATTTGCGCTGGTACACAAATCCCCAAGAGCAGCGCTGGATTGTACGCATTCTGTTTATAGTGCCCATTTATGCGACATACTCGTGGATCAGTTTGTTGTTCTTCAATTCGGATAATGTCTACATATACTTTTTCACAGTAAGAGATTGTTATGAAGGTGCGTAGTCCTGTGAAGTAGTGCTTCTGCATTCTTAAGACTAATCTCTTCTAATCCTTGTAGCCTTTGTCATCTACAACTTCTTGTCGCTGTGTTATGAATACCTCGGTGGCGAGGGTAATATTATGTCGGAGATACGCGGCAAACCCATCAAGACCTCGTGCCTATATGGCACCTGCTGCCTGAAGGGCAAGACCTACACAATTGGCTTCTTGCGCTTCTGCAAGCAGGCCACATTGCAATTCTGTTTGGTTAAGCCGCTGGTGGCATTCATTATTATATTTCTGCAGGCCTTTGGGCACTACCACGATGGTGATTGGAGGTATGTCAGACAGGGCCAAAAAGAACCTCTAGACACATGCTAAACCTACTCTTTTCTCTCCCTCTTTCAGTGCCGATGGTGGTTATATTTACATCACAATAATCTACAACATTTCCGTCTCGCTTGCCCTGTATGGACTCTATTTGTTTTACTTTGCCACGCGTGATCTTTTGACTCCATTCGAGCCCGTCTTGAAGTTCTGCACCATCAAATCGGTGATCTTCTTGTCGTTCTGGCAGGGCGTCGGCCTGGCCATACTGGAGAAGGCCAATGTGATCTCGCCCATTGTGGACAGTGCGGGCACTGTGGCCACAGAGGCGGGAACTGTTTCGGCCGGCTATCAGAACTTTTTTATATGCATTGAAATGCTTTTTGCTGCGATTGCGCTGCGCTATGCGTTCCCCTATCAGGTGAGTGATTAGATAGAGCTTTATAGAACGTGTAAAGTGAGGAATTTATATGAATTTCCCTTTTTCTATTGTTTTAGGTATATGCACGCAGCTGCATTAGCGATGGCCATGGACGTTCTGTCACCATGCAGTCGATTTCCAGCAGTCTAAAGGTGGGTCCTGAAATTCCCTTTTCTACAAACAAATTAATGAAAATGTTTCTCTCTTCTGCTTTGCCAGGAAACCATGAATCCCAAGGATATTATGACAGATGCTATACACAATTTCCATCCACAATATCAGCAGTACACGCAATACAGCTCAGGTGGGTTTTTTTTCCTGATGCCTCCCATTCTTTCTCGTTA